AGTCAACACACGTGGGATCTCGTTCCGGCACCTTCAGATCGTGTTCCTATTGGGTGTAAGTGGATTTATAAAATTAAACATAACTCTGATGGCTCTGTTTCCAGGTACAAAGCACGTCTAGTGGCAAAGGGATATACACAGGAATATGGCTTGGATTACTCTGAGACTTTCAGCCCAGTTGTTAAACAGCAGACTATTCGGTTGGTTTTGTCCCTAGCTGTGAATCACAACTGGCCTCTTCATCAGTTAGATGTCTCCAATGCTTTTCTTCACGGAGTTATTCCTGATGAAATCTATATGAAGCAGCCTCCAGGTTATGTCGATGAGCGCTACCCTCATCATGTGTGTAAACTACAAAAATCCTTGTATGGTTTGAAACAGGCACCTAGAGCTTGGTATCAACGTCTCTCCGGATTCCTTATTGACTATGGCTTTGAAAAAAATGAACATGACACAAGCTTCTTTGTTAAGCACTCTCCCTCTGGTGTTCTGATTGTTCTACTCTATGTTGATGACATCATTGTCACTGGTAGCGCCTCCTCCCTCATCTCTTCATTTATTCATGCTATGCAACAAGAATTTCAAATGAAGAACCTTGGCCCTCTTCACTATTTTTTGGGACTTGAGGTGACACGCACAAAGGATTATTGATCTTGTCTCAAGAGAAATATGCCCATGAACTGCTTCACAAGGCCGGCGTCGACAACTGCAAAACAACCCCTACGCCGCTGCCTGTTCGGCCGACCGACGAGGGGGAGAGTCCCCCGTTTGACAATCCTACCTTCTTCCGCAGCCTAGTTGGATCTCTTCAGTACTTAACCAACACACGGCCAGATATTCAATTTGCCGTGAATTATGTTTGTCAACGTATGCATGCACCCACTGAGCGGGACTTCCAGGCCTTAAAACGTATCCTTCGCTATGTCAAAGGAACCATTGATCATGGCTTGATATTCAGGCGTGGACCACAAGTCATTCAGGCATACTCTGATTCAGATTGGGCTAATGATATGACTGATGGACGCTCTGTTACAGGTTACTTGATATATTTTGGTTCAAATTTGATCTCTTGGAGTACGGAGAAGCAAAGCCGCGTGTCCCGGTCGTCCACTGAAGCCGAGTACCGAGCACTCTCGGCTGCCGCAGCTGAAGTAATGTGGCTCACCTACTTGTTTGACATCCTACAGATTAAGCTTCCTCC